AGGACACGGAGGCGAGAATACAGATATAGTAGCAAAATCGCGGGAAGGAAATCTGTTTTCGTATTTTTGTTCAGTCTTATAAGAAAAACGTACCTACATCTAATTATTATCCATGAAAGTTACTTTTGCTTGCCATTTTACGTCTTAATGGTCGCGCGATTATCGATGATCTCGAACGATCGAACAGATGTTCTTGTATCAAAAGTATACAAATTGTACGTTATACGTTTTGGTCGATTTTGAGGAGAGTTCCGTTCGATCGCTGCCTAATTTTGCTGTCGTGTTGAACGTGAGTGGGAAAAACACTGAAAAATACGGTGTGTAAATGTTCTCTAACCTTGTATGGTGAACGCAGTGATATAGCGTGGTTGTAAATATCGGGGGTAATTGTAGAGATAACGATGAAATATAACGGGTAAAGTGACTGCAGTCACTTTTGGGGTTTGGGGATTTGGAGATTTTGGGATTTTGGGATTTTGGGATTTTGGGATTTTGGGATTTTGGGATTTTGGGATTTTGGGATTTTGGGATTTTGGGATTTGGGGATTTGGGGATTTTGGAATTTGGGGATTTTGGGATATGGGGAATTTTAGGATGTGGCAGTTTTGGGATATGGGGATTTGGAAATATGGGAATTTTGGGATATGAGGATTTTGGAATTTGGGAATTTGGAGATTCTAGGATATAGGAATTTGGAGATTTAGGGATATAGGAATTTAGAGATATAGGAAGTTAGGGATATAGCAATTTAGGAATATAGGAATTAAGGAATATAGCAATTTAGGGATACAGGAATTTAGAGATATAGGAATTTAGGGATATAGCAATTTAGGGATACAGGAATTTAGGGATATTGGAATTTAGAGATATAGGAATTTAGGGATATAGGAATATAGAGATATAGCAATTTAGGTATATAGCAATTTAGGGACATAGCAATTTAGGGATATAGCAATTGAGGGATGTAACAATTTAGGGATATAGGGATATAGAAATATAAAATTTGGAGATTTTGAAATTTAGAAATATTTTAAGTTATGGGTACTGCAATCTAGGGATATTAGTCTAGTGATATATTAAGATATAGGAATATAGGGTTATAGAGATATAGAAATATAAAATTTGGAGATTTAGAAATTTAGACATATTTTAAGTTATGGGTACTGCAATCTAGTGATATTAGTCTAGTGATATATTAGGATATAGGAATATAGGGTTATAGAAATATGGAATTATAGGGATATAGAAATGTAAAATTTGGATATTTAGAAATTTAGGAATATTTTAAGTTATGGGTACTGAAATATAGGGATATTAGTCTAGTGTAACATTGAGATACTAGAACCTTTTTAACCAACTTCGAAAAAGGAGGAGGTTACTCAATTCGATCAGTATATTTTTCACCAACAGAAATCTAAATCTGGAAATATCAATATTAATATTCTATTGATATTATATTAATAATAATTGCTAAAAGTTTTTATTAATAATATAATATTAATATAATATTTTTAATGATATTGATATTATATTTTTAATAACATTTTTAACCATTATTATTAATATAATATCAACATAATATTATTAAATATTAAATATATTATTATAATATTAATAAATGTTATATAATTACTAATAATATTAATATCATATTTCCCTATTATTTCTATTTAGAAATATTTGAATTTAGAAGTATTTAAATCTAGTTATATAGGAATTTAGATATTCGAATCTAGGGATATTGGTGTTCATTACATACCTAGGAATCTAGTGAATTTTGGAAAATATAAACTGTCATATAAACTCTCATATAAACTCTCGTATAAACTTTATAATATAAATATTTGCAAACCATTTCTTTTCAGCAATTAAAAAAGTTACTAAACAAAAATGTTATCTAAGATGCGTTTTTTACAAATCGACGTAACTTACAACCACGCTATATTTCTGCGTCTACTGTACACTGCACAAGTATCAAACGGAGTTACAATATCGTTAACATTTTTCGTGACATAAGCTAAAGTGCATTCATTTCAGCGTAACACAAAAGGATTTCGAACACCTCTAAAAATCTTAAAAAAAAAAAGAGCTAAATTCTCGCGATATTTTCCTCGCTACAGCCACATAAGCCAATATATTTAAAAATGAAGCATATTGTACAATTACGATAAAAATGTTTAAAGCTATCGTATTAGAAATGTATAAAACGCAGGCTTTCGTGGCTGACTATATCATTACATTGCGTTTATAATTTCTATTAAGTTACACGAATAAACCGTACAATCGTTATTTCTCTCGGCTCGAGAAAGAAGAGAAAAAAAGAATCGCCGAATCGAGACACGTACACACGAAAATGCAATTATATATAAAATACCATACACGTCTACAAAACTACTCGAATCCCTGGTTGTGCATCCAGGACAATTGAATTTCGTTCAATTCTATCCCCGATGGCTCTGCTTTTCCGTCGAAAAGCGAAACCGATTTCTTTGTACCTTTAGCAGCGTTTCCTGGCGGAAACGGCTTCAAAGGTACACGTATTACAAAGAGTTCTCTCATAAGGCACGCCACAGAAATACAATACTCTCGCCAGTTAGAGTAAATATACAAAATTGAATATTCAAAAGAAAAAAGTTCCGATCGTCAAAGTTCCTGAACATTCTCTCTCTCTCACTCTCCCTCTCTCGCTCTCTCTTATTCTAGTTGTACCGATCGTCACGCAGTCTTCAACAAGGCACTTCTTTTCTTGTTTGTTTAATTCTCTGCGAATACACGAGATGTGTTTAAAAGCTGCGATGTTCGGAAATGTAGGCACGAAACAAGAGGAAAACAGTTCCATTTCATAACAAAAGTTACTTTGGTAATGACTAGGTCATGCACTATCGCTACGATATACCGTGTGTTTGTGTGTCTGTGTGTGTCTTCACTAATATGTCATGCGATTGGCTTGGCTTCCGAGAACGATAGCGAAGGAAAAAAAACTAGACGTCTCGTTATTATGGCTATTTCACGCGTCGAGCGAGGGTGCGTTTACAATTAATTCGACAGCATTCAATTCGATGACGTTTGATTAAATGTATTTTGATTGGGGGTTTCGAGTCGACGTTAAGCGATTAATTTTGTACGGATCGATTTTGCGAGATTCAATTCCACAAGGTTCAATTCCACAAGGTTCAATTCTACGCGATTCAATTTTGGATGGTTCAATTCTATATTCAAGTCCACAGAGTTCAACTCTACGTAATTCGATCTCACAGGACTTAATTCTACATGGTTTAATTCTATGTGATTCAATTTCTCGAAATTCAATTCTACTTCACTCATTTTCACATAGTTCAATTTTACACAGTTCAATTCTACGGAGTTCAATTCCACAAAGTTAAATTCCACACGATTCAATTTTGAGCGATTCATTCCATAGAATTGAAGTCTACGGATTTCAAGTCGACGTAATTGAATTCCAAAAGATTCAATTCCACACGGTTTAATTCTACGTCATTCAATTTCCCGAAATTCAATTCTACTTGACTCAATTTCATATAGTTCAATTCCACAAGGTCCAATTCTGGACGATTCAATTCCATAGAATTGAAGACTACGAATTTCAATTCTACGCAATTCAACCTCACAAAATTCAATTCTACAAGGTTTAATTCTACGTGATTTAATTTCCCGCAATTCAATTCTACTTGACATAATTTTACATAGTTCAATCCTACGCGATTCAATTCTACGCGGTTGTAATCCCACAGATTCAATTCTACACGGTTTAATTCAATTCTACTTGACTTGATTCCACATAGTTCAATTCTATGCAATTCAATTCTATGCGATTCAATCTCACAGAATTCTACATAATTTAATTTTGTGTAATTCAATTCGACATGATTAATTCTATGCAATTCAATTTTACACGGTTTTCAATTCTACACGATTCAATTCCGGAAAATTCAAATTTATACAATTCTATTCCTCGAGATTCATGGTTCGATCCTATACAATTTAATTTTACGCAGTTCATTTTCATATAATTTAATTTCAATTTCAATTCTATTACCTAATTCCATTTTACGCGATTCAAACTGACATTATACAACTGGACTTGTATGTGACTTCCATTGACATTCAATTTTCGTCGACGTAAATCAATTATTCGAGGCGCTTCAATTCATCTTACTAGAGAACTGCACGTCTTTTTTCTGAACACTGATTTCACTCAACATTACAGGTTTATAGCGGACATCACTATTTTACATGATTATAATACACAACTTTTCAAAATAAGAAAGAAATTGTATATAAAATTTTGTTAACATATGTTTAATTATGAAAAATAGAAAACCATAAATGCAGAGTGGCATAGTGTAAAAATATGGAAATTATAAAATTAAAGGTTTCAAGTTGAAAACTTCTGGTAGTGCAAGTCTTTCTTTGAATTTTTCTACCCTTTTTTCAAAAAAAATAAATTAAAAAATTTGCAATATCACTACATTTTATGATGCGTTATGATTTTACAAAATTCCTATTATTCTTGCTATCCACAATAATCATGCAAAATGTAACTACAGTCAATGTTCCTAAGACCATGCACTGCCCTAGAGGACACTTAAATGCTTAATTTAAATATGACAAACATTTTTTTACATTCAGCTATTTAATATTTTAAATAATTTACTTAATTGTTTATTCTAAACGCACCCTCACGCAATACACGTACACTCAAGTGCAACGTAGATTTCCTTTCATTTAGGAAAGCATAGGAGAAAAAAAATCTAGGTTGGAATATCCCTAGGATCTCTCAGAGTTTTACTTCACCACTCTTTGAGTTTTAGGCTTTCCCAAAATTCAACTATTTCTATATTTACTTTTAAATAAAGACTTTCCTCTGTTAGCCGCTCCACACTATTGCATACACACAACACTGCACATGCTTTAATTAAATAAAATTGAACAATAAATACATTTTTCAATAAAACTTTCATAAAATATGATTAAATAAAATACAGGGTGTTCCAATAAAATATACACACTGTGTAATAATTTAATAAATAAAGTAAAATAGAAGTTAAATTGAAATGGTGTTGACTATCTTAAAATCATAAACACTCAAAATGACCACTATTAACATTAATGTGTTGATATATCTACTATATTTACCATTTTAGTATGTTTAATAATGTTTACTACCATTTTTTTCTTATCAAGTTTACTATCATCTTATATACATACTTAAAAGGTATATCTTTTATTAGCACACCCTATACATCTTATTCAGACTTCCATTTTAAATAACTAATAAAATATTCGTTGCTGAAAAGGTTATATGAAAAGTCTCATCATGTAGTTTCAATTTTGGAAGAACCTAGGCAAAACCTGAGAACCTAGAGATAATCTAAGAACTCAACATATTCCTCTCCTAACCTCCCCTTAAACTAAGGCAAACCTAAATTGCCTGAGATTGTACATTAGGACTCTATCGAACTATCAAAAAAATAAAGCAAACGCGCTCGAAGCTGATCCCCTCACTATAGATCTTGCATCGTTCATCGCTCGCAAGCGTTTCACGCTATCCTGCCCTGTTTCTCCAAGATCCACCTCGGAACAACGTTGTAGCGTTGAGCATAACCCGGAAGAGAAACTAAATAACGATAGAACAAGTATAGTTCGCGCGTCACAACATGAGCCCCGGTCAAACAATAATAAAGTTGCAGCTTTAGCGAACATTCCTCAAATTGGTTCCAGCTGTGACAGTCAGATCGAAAAACAAGGTTGCTCCACCAGAGTTCATCTTGTGACGCACAGTATGCATAAAAAAGAAAGAACAAACGATTCAATCCCTACGCGTGGAAGATAAGATACGGAAAACAGTAGTATATCTTTCCTTCGGAAGATCGTCGCTTCGAGGAACGCTTTAAAACCGGGAAGACTAACAACCCCGTTCGTGGCGAAAATTAAAACTGGATGCGATAATTGCTAGGACGCGGTATTGATCTCGCTTTCGAAGGCGGCAACGAGGAGGTGGACGCTTCGCTGCTGGCGGTTCCTCCTGAGTCGCGTCCTCCGCTCTTGCTGCTGACGGTGCTTCCGGTGCTCTGCCCGCGAGAGCCTGTCTGCTTCCTCAGGGTGCCCTCGCTGAGACGACCGTACTCCCCGATACGACGAGACGGCGGCGGAATCAGCGAACGGCTCTGGGTCTCCCTGAGCTTCGTCTCCGAGCCGGACGGTTGTTTCTTGCGGACGTTCTCCGTATATCTACTATATTTACCATTTTAGTATGTTTAATAATGTTTACTACCATTTTTTTCTTATCAAGTTTACTATCATCTTATATACATACTTAAAAGGTATATCTTTTATTAGCACACCCTATACATCTTATTCAGACTTCCATTTTAAATAACTAATAAAATATTCGTTGCTGAAAAGGTTATATGAAAAGTCTCATCATGTAGTTTCAATTTTGGAAGAACCTAGGCAAAACCTGAGAACCTAGAGATAATCTAAGAACTCAACATATTCCTCTCCTAACCTCCCCTTAAACTAAGGCAAACCTAAATTGCCTGAGATTGTACATTAGGACTCTATCGAACTATCAAAAAAATAAAGCAAACGCGCTCGAAGCTGATCCCCTCACTATAGATCTTGCATCGTTCATCGCTCGCAAGCGTTTCACGCTATCCTGCCCTGTTTCTCCAAGATCCACCTCGGAACAACGTTGTAGCGTTGAGCATAACCCGGAAGAGAAACTAAATAACGATAGAACAAGTATAGTTCGCGCGTCACAACATGAGCCCCGGTCAAACAATAATAAAGTTGCAGCTTTAGCGAACATTCCTCAAATTGGTTCCAGCTGTGACAGTCAGATCGAAAAACAAGGTTGCTCCACCAGAGTTCATCTTGTGACGCACAGTATGCATAAAAAAGAAAGAACAAACGATTCAATCCCTACGCGTGGAAGATAAGATACGGAAAACAGTAGTATATCTTTCCTTCGGAAGATCGTCGCTTCGAGGAACGCTTTAAAACCGGGAAGACTAACAACCCCGTTCGTGGCGAAAATTAAAACTGGATGCGATAATTGCTAGGACGCGGTATTGATCTCGCTTTCGAAGGCGGCAACGAGGAGGTGGACGCTTCGCTGCTGGCGGTTCCTCCTGAGTCGCGTCCTCCGCTCTTGCTGCTGACGGTGCTTCCGGTGCTCTGCCCGCGAGAGCCTGTCTGCTTCCTCAGGGTGCCCTCGCTGAGACGACCGTACTCCCCGATACGACGAGACGGCGGCGGAATCAGCGAACGGCTCTGGGTCTCCCTGAGCTTCGTCTCCGAGCCGGACGGTTGTTTCTTGCGGACGTTCTCCGCCTGCAGACGCTCGTACTCGTGGCCAGCTGTAGGCTTCTTCAGCGAGCTGGCAACCAACGGCTCCGAGCCGGACGACTTCTTTCGACGCTGGGTCTTCGTGTCAAATCTGCCGTAGTCGATGGTGCAGTTGCTGGGTACCTTGATGCTCGCCGCGGTATCCAGAGCTGGACCCGGGTCCGACTTCTTGCGGGTCTCCGTGTCGCTCAGACGACAGTAACGGGAGCCTGTCGTCTTCAGGTTCTTCGGCGGCCGCGGTAACGAGCTGGGCGGAAGACTACCTGCACGGCGTGGCTCTCCCTCCTGCATCCTTTGCCTCTGCGAGCTTCTTCCCTGCTTCTCCAGCAGCATCATGTCCTCCGGCTTACCGTCCGACAGTCTCGACACGGTACCCTTCAGCCGGGAGGATGCACTCGAGAACTCCATGATACCTGGCGACACCTCGCCTCCGGAATCGTCCAGCAGGCGACTCTTGCTCGAGGCAGTGCTCGAGGTACCTGTACTATCTACACCCGCCAATAATGGCTTGGGTATTTTTCCTTTTCGCGACGCAGTGCCTGGATTAGAGAATCCTGGAAAACAGCAAAGTGCCCGCTGAAACAAGAGAAAAAAACACACCCGTTTTGGAGAGGAGACCCGGGACCTGGAAATGGGTTAGTGCTCGCCACAACAGCGCATGCACACTCTGGGATCACAAGGGATAGGTAAGCTGGGCGTGGGTTAGTTTGGAGCAAAGGAACAGGTATATGCTGTTTTTCTTTTCTGGTTTCATTTCTTTCCTTTAGGGATTAAACATTGCATAACATTGTTGTTATATGGTTAATTATAAAACAAAGTCAATGGCACACAAGAATTTGTATTAGTTGACAAATACAGTTTACTGTATTTGAATTTCAGAAAATGAATACAGAATAGCATCGTTTATGTATTATGGAAGTAGGAGATGAGATAGTTGATCATACGTTTTCATATTTATTTTTGAATTAATACTTCCCATATGCCGGATTAACAATTACAGACTACAGATTTTATGTTGTAAAACATAACCTTGAAGATTTATTATTTACATACTTAACATCTCTGTGATCACATGTGCTTTCTAACCAACTATCTCCTCTTCCCTATTGTTTCAAAGCAGAGTTTGCTTTTCATTTGCATCCGAATATAATTCAGAAAATCTTCAGATTTTGTAAGAATTGCTTAGCAGAAAATAAAAAGCTTACTCCATTCCTTGATAAAGCAAAATAAAAAAGAAGTACAAAATACAAAATCAATTGAGACACACGTTATGCAAATATTGACAACCAAAAACACAAGATATAAATAGTTGATGTGTCATACCATGTATTTATTATAATTTAAAACCATTCAAACAATGAATCCAAATCTTGCACAAAACGTTTAAAAACACATCAACTGTCTTCACTTACATGACAAAACTCAAATATAACATTTGAATACCTTTGACAATGTGTATTTTCATAGTCCTGTAGCTATGAAGCTAAAGAATATAATCGGCGAAAAAATTAAGATACTAATACGTAAAAACAAAAGACCTCTATAAAATGTAAAAGATTAAACATAAAACAGATTTTGAACTGTTTCACAAAATTATTATAAGAAACTGATTTCAATCGCGACGATTTTCGCGTGTATAAAATTTATACATTTACTTGGACGTTGCATACCTTACTAAGTAGCTGGGAATCTAGTTCTTTTAACTGATCGTCGAGACTTTTATTCGTCTGTTCGAAACTGCCCTGCTTCCTGTATTTGTAGCTGTCGGTGACACCATACGAGCCGGTACTTCCATAACCACTGCCTCCTCCTAATACACTGCTCACTTTAAATACAATAATATTGTTATTTTAAAATTCATTGTTTTAAAGTGTAATTTACTTACCGAGTTCTGGCGTGGTTGTTAATGCGGTATGATGATCCGCTGACGTACTTGAATGAGACGAGTGAGCAGCAGGGTAGCTACCTACACCGCTACTGCTGCTACTATCTTTGTCGTATGTATGCTTCTGAAGAACTCTGATCATTGCATCCCTTTCGGCTAATTTTGATTCTAGATCTTTCATCCTGTATAAAATAAACAAGATTAGCTCAATCATGTTATAATTCAGTAATAGATTAGGTGCCTACCAAATGTCTGAAACTTGGATTTAGGATTAGGACCTAGGATTTAGAGTCTCAAGACCTGGAAGAAGTCTAAGTAGAGTTTAGGATCTAAATGAAGCCTAAGGGATCTAAAAGGAGCCTATAAAATATCTAGTTGAAGAACCAAGAGATACCTAGGATCTAGTCTAGTAACAGGGACATCACTGCTCTACTTGATACGCAACTTGGATTTAGGACTAGGACCTTGGACTTAGAGAGAGTCTCAAGAACTGGAAGAAGCTTAAGTAGAGTTTAGGATTTAAATGAAGCCTAAGGGGATCTAAAAGGAGCCTATAAAATATTTAGTACAGGTGCTGGAGAGCCAAGAGATACCTAGGATCTAATAACAGGGATATCACTGTTCTTGATACGTGTAATTCGTACAAACCTAGATTCAAGATCAGCCAATTTTTTCTGTGCAGCATGCACCTCGTCCATATGTCGCATTTTCTCGGAGCGTGCTTCAGCAATTAGTTTCTCGGCATCTTGGCTCGTTTTTTCTAACGCAGCTATCTTCGCATCCCTGTTCAAAATAACGTATTATAATCCATGTCAAAATTATATTATGTATAATCCATGATAAAATTATTAGTATGTAGAAACATACTTTGGTAGACTAGCTGCGTCAATTGCAGCCTGTCTCAACGCGCTCTCTTCGAGATAACGTTGTTCCCATTTCGCAACATCGCCCTCGAGTGACATAATTTTTTCGTCTCTTTCGCGTATTCTTCGTTTCAATTCTGCGATCGTTTCTCCATTGGACGATTGTTCATTACCATTGACACCACCCCCGCCTCCGCCACCGCCACCTTCTCTTAATTCTCGTTCTAATTGACCTCTCAACTGTCGTTCTGTCTCTTCTCTTCTGTCACTGGACGCTTGAAGAGAAGACAGAGCTCGTTGAAGTTGGCCCACTCTTTCTACGTATACTTGTTTCTTACGACACTGTAAAGAATTGTAAACAGTGTTACTGAATTATGAATATTAAATTCTCGGATATAGGCAACTAACCTCTTCTTCAAGACGCACGACGTTCCCCTGCGCATTAGTGAGAGCAGTGTCTAAAATGTCTATGTGCGTACGTTGTTCTTGTAATGTCGCTCGTTGCGCTGCTAGTTCGATTTCTTGTCTTTCTTTCGCTGCGGCTAATTCTTTGTCTGAAATTAAAATAACAATTATGTGATAATACTCTCTTAGACATTCAATTTTTGTTCAACTATAATAAAACATACTTTGTGTAATCAATTGTCCAATTAACAATTCCCGTTGAGTCAATTCCTTTCTCATAGATTCCACAATTGGTGGACTATCGGTACGCGCTGATAATAGATCTATTTGATCTCTCAATGCTCGATTTAATTCGGTCAACCGTCTGCAGTCGTTTTGCAGCCTTAATCTGGCAGCTCGTTCCAATTTTTCTCTTCGTTCGCTCGATGCCGCCAATTCTTCGTGAGCCCTATGCACCTTTGCTATTTCTTGTTCCAACTTTTGCGATTTAGCAACTTTGCTATAACACCGTTCTAATTCTAATTTTAAGGCACTGTTCTCTTGAATCACGATTTGAATCATTTCTGATGGTGGCCAAATTTCACCAGCTGCAGATTCTGTTTCCTCCCTACCTTTCGTTTGTGGTCTACGAAAATACGGGAAATAAAATATTATTTATAATAAGAAATAACTAACTTCAATAATCGTTTCAATTAAATCACCGTGGGGAAGTAGCTCGTAAATTGTAGTTATCGATATCGGGTTTGCCAATTCTGGATAAGTCAGGTTGTGATCTTGATAACGTTAATTTCTCCATTGGACCAAGGAGTCTGGACTTATTTTTTAATGGCAACAAAACAGACATGTATGACGGTGGTGGTCTATCTTCGGATTCACTGTCATTTTGTTTTCCTCTATCGCCATCTCTCACTCTCATATCGATATTTCCTCCATTATTTGTCAACTTACTATACGATGGTACTTTAACCTCTTTAGCAAGATGTTTTAATACCTGTTTATTTTAAGCGAAATAAAAAACGTTTGAATTAACAATCGGGTTTAAAATGATTTAACTACAAAAAAATTTGTTCCATACTTATAGCAATGCTAATATAATAATCACCTGTGACTGACTAAGGTAATCGTCTGGGATATCTGTAATTTCTTGACATCCTCCATTATTAGGTTGTTCATAAACATGATCTTCGTGAGATAGATTTGATAAAGATTGCATGGTAGGACTATTCGAATGTCCTTTTCCACTACCATCACAATATAAATAACCCACATCTCCATGTTCTCTCACCACACCTGACAATCTAGAATCAAATAATTAGTATTTATTAAACACCTGTAGAAAATATATCTTGCAAATATTTTTTATAATATACCAAAGTATGCAAAGTATAATAATTACTGATTTATATTACCTTCCAGATGGTATCCATGAACTGTCATCGTTAGCATTATGTATAATGAGTGTGTTGTACGAGCTCGTAGACACATCTAAGCTACTTCTATTTGAGCCCACACTGGTACGATTACTTAAATTGTCTTTCAAACTATTCCTATTAGAGCCATTGATACTATCTTTGAGGCTATTTCGATTAGAGCCATTCAAGTTCTCTTTCAGACTGTTTCTGTTTGATCCGTTTAAACTATCCTTCAAGCTGTTTCTGTTGAGCAGGTTACCCTAAATCACAATAAAAGAGTTTACATTCATTTTTTTGAATAATGTTTAGTATAAATTATAGTATCAAAAAATAATATGTAAGTATAACTTGTTATTAAACAAATTATTTTAATATACCAATTATTACTGAAGAAAAATAAAAGTTATTATTAATTAATAAGTGGTTATATTTACTTGTATATTTGGTATGTTTTCCTTATGACTGGAAGATCTAGACGGACTTTGTTGTTGATTTTCTTGACCCTGAGGCTCTTGACGTGCTGTATGCCTTATAACGTATCGATCTTCATTGGTTAAATTCTCGTTAGATGTCGAAACATCAGTTTCACTGCCACTTAAACTTTGTGGAAGACCACCTATCAGATACAAGTCATAAGAAAACTGTTAATTTCAAAAAGCATATCACACCCTTATGACAAAAGTCACACAACTCAAAGAAATTAAATGTGTGTTTACTTTCACCTGTTTATTGTTATTACTAGTATTATCATGATAAAGCACACTACAGAATACAGCACAGTGTCACATAAATCAGGATGATCACAATAACTGTTCTTTAAGAACCGAATTATGAAGATAAATAAATAAGATCCTCAAAATTGATCAAAGTGTTTCTATAACCTTCTCATAGTAATAAGTTAAAAATTACACTTATAGAGTTGTGTTACTTTTGCCACAAGTGTGTGATATGTAATTTTAATCTTCTATTTATATTGCTATTATATTGAAAGTAGTGTGAGGACATAGATTTTAGAATAATCTTTATACCTTGCATCGACAATTGCTTCCTTTGTATATTATTATTTGAAAATGGCAAGAATCTGCTACCTTGCTGTAGAGAACTCATTTTCCTATTTTCTCATTGATACCTTTTGTGTTTTATCTGAAAATGTAATGTTAATCATATATCGCAACTGACTAATTTTTAAGTGCACTACAATTTACAAATTTTACTTTATGAATGTAGTCTACTACGCGTACTTACATGTGCAACATTAAAGAATGAATAAAGTAAGATCTAGCAACAATTTTAAAAGGAAAACCAATGTGCAACATGTGTGCTTTCATTCAAATGTTCTTAAAAAGCATTTCAAGCAATATTTAAGAGCACTTCACCTCAAAATTTGTAAAGAAGAATGTTCACTCTACATCCCTAAATATCAAAAACCACTGGGAACATGAAACCTATTCATGCATTCTAGTTGACACTACGCGGCATTCAAAAACGAGAAACAGAGAAAGAATTACGAGTAGTCCGCGTCTGAGAGAGAGACGAGGATGTTATAGTAATGGTAAAGCAGAGCACTCTGACAGAGGTGTCAACACTCTGGAATGTTGATAATCCGGAGATATTGGATTTTTCGTTGATGCGTAACATTGTAGCGGGAAAGCATTCGAGGCCTTGCGAACACGATTCATCGGTGTACCGCAAATCTGAGAATATCGCTTTCGCACGAGATCCGAATATTTTTATAACTTGAAGTTGAAGGGTTGTATAAATAAACAAAAGAATAATCCTCGAAGTGCGTTTGACGAGGAGTTTTTTACAAGCCGCGTTATCGAAGCGCAAGTAGATGGTCCTAGCGGATAGTAGTCCGATTACTCACATTATACAAAGGTGCAAAAACGGGTCGAGTGTCGTAATTATTTCAATAAATTAGTACACTTTACTGCTCCACGCACGAGAAATAAAAATTGCTATAGTTCCCGCATTCCTCATCAGGGTGCGACGTATACGAAAGCGGGATACGCTCTTCCTGACTCTTCTAAACTTTCCCAACTTTTTTCTTCGCCTGTAGATGAATCACTAAAACGCAATGCACCCGGAATGTCATCTTTACATAGTTTTTTTACCCCATGTTACGACTGATACAGTAGTTCCTTTCTTTTTGGAAAATCTCATGGTTTTACATTTTATTCTTAAATAATAGGTTTATGTCAGGTTCATTGTCCGCACAAGATTCTTTATGATAGGCTTTTGTTTTATCGCAAAGTAGTTTTCTTTATGTTATTACTATTATTTTGAATGTATAATTATGTTCCAAGTAAGGTTACATCGTACAATGAATTTTACTACTGTATTTTTATATAAATAGTTAGGCCGTGTTCATTAGTGTAATTTAGCAGCAATGTTGCTATTAATATTTCAACAGTGTTGATATAAAGCATATTGTAATCAATTTCTAATAGTTTGATTATATGGTAGCAACAGATCGGGTAAAAAGCTCGATACAGTAAATATTATGATACTTGACAAAGTAGCAGCCTATTTTAAATATAGCGGCAGTGGTTTTCAAACTGTGCAAGGTACCCTCAAATGACTCGGTAGGGGTGCCCCGAAATAATTCAATACCGGGATTCCCAAAGGACAGGTTCTAACTTAATTTTAGATCAGTCATAAAATTATCTATTTTAAAAAGTGGGAATTCAAGTTATAACTTTATAACTTAAGAAATGTTTAATTTTGGATTTGTAAAGCTTGTGAGAAATATTCTGATTTTAGGTGCTGTAGAAAAATTGATACTCTAAGGGTGCTATCAACTAAGAAAGTTTGGGAGCCACTGACTTACAGTATCTTTACATACGTATATCAACTATAGTTCATTCAAGTAACTTGAAGATAACATTTATCAGTCTTTCAACAATTACAACACTTGCATACAGATCAAAAATGTCCAATACCCGACAATTAATCATGACATTTAACAAAATTCAACGGTTACCTAAACTTTTTAATCGTTTTAACATGCATCGTCATATCTCAACTGCATTTATTTATAATGAATTATTAACAACCGCATCGTGTAAAACATACTCTATACCTGGTAAACATATGTACAACATTGACACACTTATTAGTATACTGTATTTAGTAAGAGTGAATAAAAGTTCAACTGTTTTAATATATCCGAATGAAAGATATTAACACTTAACTTTAGATTCTCGTTAAATACTTTTAAAATTGTATATTGTTTCAATTAACATGTTTCATTAATGTATAATGCTGTTTAGAATATATTTGACGTGTTATTTTCTAGTACAATCAGCTTTGCACTTTTCAACTTCCATTGTTGTTAATAGTAATTCAGAAACCATGAGTGAAGGCAAAACAAGCACATTTAATCTTAATTACACTGACATTTTAGAAGCTCAAAAAGATGATAGTATTTTGATTATTGATGTTAGGGAGAAAGAGGAAATCGATGAAACTGGAAAGCTTCCAGGAAGTATTCATATACCAAGTGTGTTACAATATTTGAGCTTAATATTATTTGTCAAAACAGGAACTAATTATTAACTGTTTGTATAGTGGGAGAAGTTTCAAATACTTTGATGAATCTTTCTGAGCAGGATTTTAAAGAAAGGTTCGATAAAAAAAAGCCTTCAAAAGATACAAAGATTATACTAAGTTGTAGATCTGGGAAAAGAAGTGGTATAGTTCAAGAGGAACTACAAAAATTTGGATATGAAAAGTATTAACATAAACATAAGTTGATTATGAATCACTGTTTTCCATATTTCATTATTTAACACATGTTCATGTTTTAGTGCATACAATTACGTTGGTGGGTGGTTGGATTGGGAAAGTAATCAAAAGGTATAGATACATTGACAATTAATAATAGAACTTTATATACTCAAACATGTTTATTGCTAAACTATGGTTATTTTATAGAAACAATTGATTTTAATTAGTAACTTAAATATAATAAATTTTAATTAATATTTACATATACTTTAATACATGTATACATACATGTATATAATGTAATCAAGTCTGTATATACATTATATGATATTAAATGAAAATAATCCTTTTGTACAAAATCATTTGTTTTTCTGTTCCTGTGCCAACTTTTGATTAACCATTTCTCGAAATTGTCCCAAGATAAGATTCTCTCTTTTCTGTCGTTCCTCTTTACTGAACATAGCCAATGCTCGTTTCTCGTCAGCAGAATAAATCTGGTTCTCTTTACGAATACGAACAGCCTCCATTCGGCGATGCCTACAAACACACAAAAATATTAAAACATGTACTAAACTTCACTATGACCCAATCAATTTGTTTAAAATATAAGATATGTAAACATATGGTACCTGCTGCCACTCATAACATAGCCAACAGATTCATACGAGGCAATTTCCTCTGATGTAAGACCAATTTCACCTCTTCTAGGTATACGTTTTCCTTCCGCAACATACGCAGCCATAGCAGCACCTTCTCCTGGCAACAAAGCTTTTCCAAAATCTTTAGCAGACAATGTTACATGTGGTTTTTGAACTGGTCCTACTACACTTTCATCGCCACTGTCATCTGAACTCGATCCCTTCTTAACCTTTGCTTTGTCATTAACACCGTTCTTTTCTACCCATTCTAGTTCTTCAGATTCACTGTCAGAACTACTATCAGATTTCTTCTTCTTCTTTTTGCGTTTCTTCTTCTTTTCTTTCTTAGCCTTCTTTTCCTTTTTTAACTTTTTACTTTTCTAACATGACAAAAGTAAAAAGAAGTTATAAATTAAATGAATTTGGAGATAAAATTATTGTGGAAATGCATATTTAAAAAATATCAAAAACCTTTTTCTTCATCTCGTGTTTCCTTTTCCTGTCTCTTGTCACAATACTGTCTTTATATTTGCTAAGCTCCTCATCTTCGTCGGAGCTATATTAAATAGGTAATAAGGATGTATTTAAAATCATTAGTATTAAGTAACGAGGTAAGTAATTAAAATATAAATGAGTAAGAACTAAATGAAGTAATTTCTTACTCTTCAATTCGCGTCGGGGATTTACCCCAAATTCTGTCAACTCCACATAACCCAATTTGTTCTCTATCACGTCTTCGCGCATCCATCGTCAAATTCTTTTTCATTGTTTATATTTTACCACAGATGAAGTATAGGATAGAGCACTCATGCAATTATTGTTTGATCACATCTGAAATACCAACATTGTCGAAAACGTCATTCTCTGTAGTTGACTCGTGCGTTCTTTACGTTTCAAAAGAGGTAATTGCAGGAATGTCAGCATATTACTTATTTTATTGATACACTAAATTTGTGTACATAAATAATTAGCTTTGAAAGTATTTTGAGAGTTTTATTTTGATTAAGTTCACAAAATAAAAATTTCTTAAGCGTTAAGTCATGATTTTTAAGGGGTATTATTTCAAATTTGGTTTCATTTCATATTTACCGCTATTAGATGGCGTCACGTGTACCGTTTTGAACCGAATTCTACAAAAATTGATTTTCTGGATTTATTAGCCATCTAAACGCATCAAACCCGAATAGAAATTTGTTTCTAAAGGCCTCAGGAACCATACTACGTCGTCAAAGTGCCGAAATATTCATTTTTTTATTTTCCTTATATGCGTGTTCGGACCCTCATTTTTTAGGTTTAGTTCAGCTGTTTCGTCGCTAGATGGCGCCACGCTTTTTGTCCATAAAATGACGTTTTTCTTATTTTCGTTTGTCACGCTTTTAGCACATTATGAAAACAACGTTTAGATTTAATGAGATCGTAGAATATTATATTTGATCTAACAAAACGAAAAGGTCGCAAATTTTGAAGAATACTGCAATTTTTTATTTCAATAATTTTACTGTCCGCTGCTATGTGACAGTAGTGGTATTTGCGCGCGCAAATTTAAATGTTAAAAACGTGTGATGGTAGATTTTCACATATTTTCAAAATATTTTTCTTCTAAATTATTTATTTTGTAGCAGACTATTAATTTTAAACTATTATATTTTAAAAAAATTAAATTACGTTACTTTAATTTGTAATGCAAATGTGTATGTAACATTAAATTGCAAAATAAGTGTTTTTTATATAAATTTAATGCTAAAATAAACTAATTAGAATTTTTATGTAGTTCTTAAAGTTATCTGTATAAAATATAAAGTATACCAACAGTTATTGATAAGAAATTATTATTCATGTCAGCGCGCGAAATTTGAAAGGAATAAGGTTAAATTGTAAGGGTGTACAAAGAAAAATGAGAATAATTTCGAGACTTTATTTACCCGCTTGAAACACTCTGTAGAGAAGGAATTCGAGTTGAATTCCAATAATGTAGTATCAAAAAATGTGTGTTTTAATAAATATCAGTAAAAAATACATTACACAAAATATCTACAATGGTTACAAAGATCGATATAAAATTACATGTCTCCGAATGGCACCGACCATTCCAGACTTAATAAATGTACAAAGTAGCAATTGTCATCGTGTCTAATCGTACTGTTAGTAATATCTATAGTAATTAATAAATATTATAATTATACACTCCTCGTCGAGTCCTTTGATAGAAAAATATCCGCAACAATTTCGGTTATTTAGACCTAAACATCATGCATTTCCGAATAATATAATGTATGGTCCAATAATATACCACTAAAATGAACATTATCTTTAATTACATAAACATTCAATGATTCATTGGAATACAAGGAAATGTTTTTTTTCTTTATAAAAGAGATTCGATAGTTAATACTTGCATAATATAACAAAGGTATGACAAGGCACTCTTAATAAGTCCATCATTTTTCTTTTTATTATTTTTTTACAACCCTATATCTGTACTCAAAAGTTAAGTCTTGAAAGGTACGTATACATATTTCCTCCATTAAGTCCTTGACAATTTTTTTATGGAAATTCATTTGAATTTAAGTATCGTTTAAAATTATTCAAATATCCAAAATTAAAAAATAAAGGACATTAGCTAATTTTTTATATACATTTTTAAATCTTGCAATTTTAATTAATAATTTTCTAACTAAGTTTATTCTGTTTTTTACTCCTATGATTAAATTAGAAAATACACATCTTATTTATTGATAATTAAGTTAATAATTTAGTGATTTTTTATTGAAAATAATTAACTCAATAGTTAGATAGTTTTTAAATAATTAACTCAATAGTTGGATAGTTTTTAAATAATTATAAACGATACTGCACAAAAGGAGGAATATCAAATTTCTTTTCAGAATATTAAGATTAACAAAAAATTGTATAAATGAAAAATTGAGACAATTAGAAAACAATGTCATAAGTTCAGGTCAAATACGAATTACACGATTTGTTCCCTTAGAATTATTACCTTAATACTTTCTCGTATTGTCGGAAAATGCAGCATAAATACAACGGATGTAGAATTAACGCCATTACGGAGTAAACTATTGTATTCGTTGGAATATAGGAGCACCATTTATTTTTGTTGTAATTTTTATGAGAACGAGTTTGAACCATGAAAACACTCATAAAAATTACAACTCTAATATTGAATCAAGAGAAACACTGAACTACTGATTTTTAACAAATCAAATTTAATACCAAATAATCCTAGTACCTCATAAAAGTGTCAATTTTTATTTAATTTCTGATTGCAAAATTGTATATTTAAATCAAGAAAAAATTTACATATTTAATTTGCAATTAAGGTTTAAATTAAATATGAAATTGATATTAACATTTTGTTGTATTAATATTAACATTAATATTTTGTTATATTAATATCAATAATAATATTTTTACATTCAGTCACTCAATGTTCTTGATTCTCTGACTAAACGTTTACTTACAACTCGTTTGTTTCTCAGTTCAGTTAAATAAATATATCTGTCCATATGAATGAGAGAAATATTCAAAGGAAATCCATCGAGAGGTATCTTGAAACACTTAACGTCTAAGACAAAATCGCAGACATGTCTGCATAAATATTCAGCAAGGAAGCTCAAGTTAGAAAAGCACTTTGTCCCCTAAGTAAGTATACGTTTTCATAAATCTGGTTCCGTTATCATTATCTTGTTTAAAATATCTCTATGAATTTCTACTTTGCATATCCGGAGTCCACAAGATTTTAAACAACTGTATAGTGGTTATTGCTACGCACTAATACTGTTCGTACGAAATTACATTGCTCATTATAAATAGATCGAATAGTCATACAATTATCGTACTCTTGTTACGTCAAATTAAACAGATTTCTGCCAACAAGAGAATCCCTGTATTTTGTACTAAAACGCAACGCGAATTTGTAGGAAATTTTTGTACATTCGAACAACGTAGGCTTCCTCAGGTTTCCAATATTCTTAAATTTTCACGTTTTCGCATTTCACAATTTCTAAATTTTCACATTTCCACATTTCACAATTTCTAACTGTTCACATTTATAAATTACTCATTTTCAAATTTTCAAATTTATAAATTACTAATTTTCAAATTTATAAATCACTAATTCTCAAAATCTCAAACTCCTAAAATTCTAAAGTACTAAATTTCTAAATATTAAACTTTGTAAAGATGAAAATTTGATAAATTTGTAAATTCATTAACAATAATCTTTTGCGACGCCATTTTGTTTAGGAAAGCCTACTATGCTCACCATTATACGCTTTTGTCAAAGGAAAATTCAATGGATTTTCCTTTTGAAAATGTGGAAGAGTGTCTCTTTAGATTACAAAATTGTTTATATACAAGAACGTATCAAGTTACAAGATATTAGAAATAACAACCCTTGTAGCAGTTTAATATAGTAAGATCATTGGTATCGTCGTGGATCTTCATAATAATTATGATCATGAAGAGATGGAAAAGTATATTCGTAACAGAAGAAAGATTGACCTATACCGTTATGATAAATAATTAACAATCCCTATAAGATAAGATGAACACGATTACACGCCTCAAGAATAGAACTTCTCGATTATAAATTGTAGGCGATGTCAATGATGTGTAAAATCAAACGTGATTCACACTTTGATTCATCATTGATCGACTATGTAATTGGGCTGAAACATTTTACGAAGATTGGCAGTGATTATCAAACTGGTCATCGAAATCGTACAGAATCTATATAAAAATTAGAAACGAACTATATGTAATGGAGATCTCAGATAATCAATATTTAAAAATTTTTAATTATTATATATTGTAAATAAATGTTATCAATATTATTAACAATAATAAATATTCCGGATTCTGAAATATTGATAGTATAAGAAACTTTTCTAGTTATGGTTAACATTATCTATTTTAATTTTTTTAATGTTTGAGACAGAACAAATAATGTATATAATAAAAAATAATGCACTAAAAAAAGATTAAAATGATATCAATCTTTTTATAGCGTCCTTTCTTCTAAAACGTTTTTAATTTTCAATTGTTTAAAAAGTTTAACCTAGTTACTAAAATCCAGTAACTAGTAATTATAATATTGATCATGTGAGGTCTCCTTAAGCGTGGTATTTTCTGACATGTTGTTAAACAGGAACACAGTACACTTTAACGAATAAAAACGTGTGTATAAACTGGTACATTGAGAAATGTAGCAAAATGTAGAAATCGAGTAACAAACATTCATTCTTTGCCATTTAGGCATCTTAAGATAACTATAAGAACAGCTATTTTGATCCTCAGTTTGTAGGTCAAAGTATGACTTTTTACGCTATATGTAAAATCAGTATAAAAATTTCTGGATGAATTCAAAAAGAGAGACAGAATTTTATTTTACAGATATTGTTGCAAACTATGTATGTAATAGTCTGGAATAAGGATTTTGTGGATTTATAAGAACAAAAGTAACGATTTAACACTTTCTGCGTTGGCTGGGATCTTCACAGATTCTAATATGACTTCAAGCGCGGGAAAATTCAAATGCGAAACGCTTTAAATTAGAAACGCTCCCATCTTAAAATCTTTCAGTCTTGAAATTATTCAGAATGCTTCAAATTTGCAACTCATTAAGTTCAGAATGCATCAAGTTTAGAACTCTTCAATATTAGAACATTTGAAATTTACCAAACTTCAATTTCACAACGTTTTAAATTTAACATGTTGCAAGTCTGAAATGCTTCAAACTTGGAAAATTTCATGCCAGAAAATGCTTCAAACATTAGTACTCTTCTAGCTCAACATAATCTCAAATTTTAACTGGCCTTATGCTTGAAACGTTCCATCAAAATGGCTTCAAATTAGGTATAATATGAGTTCAAAATGATTTCGGGCTTGGAACGTTTTAAAATGGCCTCAAACTTGAAAAATTTCTAAATCATAATGCTTTAAATTTGGGATATTTTACAACCGTCTTACATTTTTGAGGATTTTACAAACTCATAATGCTTCAAATTTAAATTATTTTAAGCTCAAAATGCCTCAAACTTAAAATATAAGAAGAAAACTTGATAAGCTTCAAACTTGAAATGCTTCAAATTTAAAATGTCTCAAACTTGAAGCATCTGAAACTCCAGAACCTTTTAACTTGAACGTATGAGGCTTTGATGCCTCAAGTTTAGAACTTATACTTGAACATCTGCAGACTCGAAATGCCCAAAATATGAAGCACATAAAAAATTGAAAGTGCTTCAAACTCGAAATTCCACAAACCCAAAACGTTCGAGTCGCAATTCCACATAAAATGCGCATTAATATCAATTGAATCCGGTACCATACGTCCGGTAAGTTGGCGCTCGGAAACAATACGAGTCTTACCGCTCCGCGTGCCAACTTACCAGACGCGTATTAACCCATTAACATCGATTCCACTTGTTCCGTTCACCCACCAAATACACCTCGGTCCGCGGCGAAAGTGTTAATCGATCCGCAAATATACTCCGAACACACGAAGAAGTAAACTATTATACATAAAGCTTGAAGTGGTCAACTTTCACCGGTCGTATACGATTCAGAACAACAGCATACCGCGAATATCAGCCCCGAGTGTCCTTTGAGCGACGAACGGATCAAACAAGAGCCTCTGTGTGGTAATGATGATAATGATGATGAATGTGTTCGTGGACGTGTTTGCGACCGGAGCTGGCAGCCGCGTTCTGCGAGAACTCTCTCTCCAACCAGCGGACAACCTGGACCATGGCTCTGGCCTGGTCCTGTTCTCTGGTCGCGTGTTTCAGCTGGTGTTTCTTGCTCGATTTACCGCACTGTTGCTGCGTTTGTCCGAACTGCGCGGTCGTCTCGTTGCGTTGAACATTATGATTGTTCGGCGGTGTCTGATTGATCGGATGCTGACTGTTCGGTATCAGATTACCGACATTGCGATTGGTTTGGTCGTACGCGTTGGGATTGCTACGAGGAAGAACTTGAGGCTGCACGTAGGCTCGAGGTGGCTGCACCGCGGTGTTATTCCTCTGAAGACCGTACTGCGTCCGGGATTTCCTCAGATTACCCCGTGACTTTGCCGGCACCTTGGAAAAGGTCGTGTAACCCTGAGGCTTTTCCCGTGTCGGCTTGTGGTACGCAGTCGGCGTAGGCCGAGGCTCCGATGGCGATCGACACTCCTGATTATAGTGCGCCGCAGACTCGACGTGAGGAGCCTGTGATGGAACGCGCAGTTGCTCGTTCTGATGCCGTTTCCTGGAACGATCGGTTAGGTTAGGTTTTTCTGTGCCGGTGACATATTTTCTCGAGCAGACATGTCAGTCACGTGACCCGCTGAGTGAGCTGCGGCCCGGCAGAAAAGATATGATTGGTCAGTTTTTAATCTTAATAAAGTTGGTGTAATTATAATGCAATTCAAACATATAAAGTCAACCCTTCAGATTACAAGTAGATTTGTTTTAATTAAAATTGTAAGATACATGAATTTAATTAATGACAGACCCTGTATAAATATATCAATTTATATTTATATACTTATATTTACATTTATATTAATATCACTTTATATGTATGCATATACAGTTTATGTGTATATGCACACATGTATCTTTGAAGGGGTTGATTACAAAGGTGAGTCTTTCATCGTTCAAAGCAGATAGAATTTTCCACGTGATTTAAAGAGAAAGATACCTTGACGTATGAAAACTGAGGTTATTCTTTTCCATGTTCGCCTGAATGATTTCCAAGAGTTGTTGCCTTTGTAAGGCACCACTGCGTTTTCGTTGATTAGTCGTGAGGAGAGGCGCCAAGGGGGAAACTGCCGGGGAAACGTCACTGTCGTCGCTGATATCACCCTCGGAGCTATTGGAATAGGGTGACGGTAAATGAGGTACGGGCCCCACCCTTCTGCGTAATTCCTCCTGCTTTATTCGATTCGTTCGCGCGTTTTCACCCTCATCTTCGCTGTGAGTGTCCACTTCTTTCTGTTCGTTCTGAATAAAATAAACAGCAAAAATTTGATTTTTATTGCTTGTTTATATAGGGCACTTTTTGTACAAAATATTATATTATGGAAATTATGCATTCTTATAGTATATATTATAGTTATGATACTTTTACAATACATAGTAGTTTATAATTATGAAATTTTAATAATATATAATAGTTCATAATTATGAAATTTTTATAATATATAATAGTTTATAATTATAATATTTTTTTATGATATATGATAGTATATATTATATGTATAATTATATATTTTTGTATATGTATGTAATATTAAATATTATAAAAGTAAGAAATTATGATGGCTACTAAAAGCAGTGTAGTGTTACATGAACTTTTTCAAAATAGTCAAATTTTTGTTAATATCTGTATTCCCAAATTTTCAAATTTTCAAACTTCTATATTCTAAAATTTTCAAATTTCCAAGTTCTAAAATTTAAAGTATTTCTATTCTTAAATTTCTAAATTTAGAATTTTGCAGTTTCTCAAATTTCTAAGTTGACAAAATTTTTTTGAATTTCAATTCCCCTCAAAATATTCAAAGTTCCAAATTCTCAAAATTCCACATACTCATTCCCTAATTCCTAATTCTCCAAAACCCAAATTTTCAAATTCTAAATTTTAAAGTACTTCTATTTCTAAATTCCCAAATTTAGAATTTTTTCAATTTCCCTAATTTCCAAGTTAACAAATTTTTTTGAATTCCAAATTCTCTCAAAATATTCAAATTTCCAAATTCTCAAAACTCCACATATTCATTCCCCAATTCCTAAATCTCCAAAACCCAAATTTTCAAATTCTTAAACTTCTGTATTCTAAAATTTTCAAATTGATGTTCTCAAATTTTAAATTCTAAAATTTCCAAATTCTCAAAATTCCTAACTCAAAACTCAAAACTCCTAAATCCCCAAAATTCCAAATGTTTATAAATTCTCAAATTTTCTATCCGAAGTCCCAAAAATTTCAATTTCTCAAATTTCCCTATTTCCAAATCCTAAAATTCCATACCCCAATATCCACCTCCTTAAATCTCCAAACCCACCCAAAAAAACCCACCCTAAATCACCCAAATCCAAATTACAACAAACTTTCACTAAGCACTTCTTACATCTACCCAAAACTACCACATAAAACATATCAACGTCAAAACTACTAAAACTTCCGGTAGCTCAATCTAGCAATAACCGCAACTACACACAATCGGCCATAAAAACAGCAGAAAAAACGATTTGCGAATGGTGATCAATTAAAAAGGAATAAAACCGTTGACCCGGCGCAGTTTCCATCTGGCCATAAATCTCGAGGCGCATAAATGATAAATCCGGCTGTAGCTTCTAGAATTGTCGGGTTACGAAAGAGGGACGCGTCGGCATAAAAACGAGCCTCGAATCCTCGCCTCGCAAGGGCATCAATCTTACCTGGCAACGGTGTCTAAGCACCCTTCTCCTTCTAGGAACTCTGCGTAAACCGTGCGCCGTTGTTGTTGTTGTTGTCGTCGTGGTGTGAGCGGCGGCCGTCGTATTGTTGCAGGACGCGTGCTTCAAATGGCAGCAGGACGAATTTCCGGAAAAGCTGGTGGTCGGCTGCGAAGAAGCGTTCAAACAGCCGGTCCTTGGCTGGCTGCTCCTCTGATCCGGCGACACAGTCAATTTCACCTTAATCGTCTTACTGCCGCACGGCGGTACCTGGATGGAGGCACCCAGGGTATCGTAAATGGTAGTGACCAAGCCAGCTATGTCGTCCTTTGTTATCTTCCCGTGGCCGTCGAAGTCGTACAGGGTGAACGAGAATTCTTGCCGCTTTCGGTCGCCTTCTGCTACCGACACGTCGCATTCGAATTCCTGAATTTGGGATAAAACGTATTTACTGGTGATTATTTGTATTTAGGACTGATTATTTGGATTTGGTGCTGATTACAGGAATTTATGAATGATTATTTGTACATATTGCTGATTATTTATACATATTGCTAATAATTTGTATTTATTATTGAGTATTTGTATCTGTTGCTAGGTACTTGTATTTGTTACTGATCATTTGTATTTGTTGTTAACTATTTGTATTTGTTGCTGAGTACGGGTATTCGTTGCTAAGTATTTGTATTTATTATTGAGTATTTGTATCTGTTGCTAGGTACTTGTATTTGTTACTGATCATTTGTATTTGCTGCTGAGTATTTGCATTTATTGCTAAGTATTTATATTTACTTTTGAGCATTTATATTTGCTGCTGATTATTAGTAGCTGTTGCTGAGTACTTGTATTTGTTGCTGATTACTTATATTTGTTGCTAAGTATTTGTATCTATTACTGTGTATTTGTGCTTGTTGCTGAGTACTTATATTTATTGCTGATTATTTCTATTTGTTGCTGATCATTTGTATTTATTGCTGATTATTTGTACTTATTGCTGAGTATTTGCATTTGTTGCTGAGTATTTGTATCTATTGTTGAGTACTTGTACTTGTTGCTGAATACTTGTATCTATTGCTGATTACTTCTATTTGTTGCTGATTATTGGTATTTATTGCTGAGTATTTGCATTTGTTGCTAATTATTTGTATTTATTTCTGAGTATTTGCATTTGTTGCTAATTATTTGTATTTATTACTGAGTATTTACATTTGTTGCTGAGTATTTAGATTATTTGATTTATTTTTTAAAATTTTTTATATACTGCTGATCATTTATGTTCATTATTATTTTTTTGTATCTGTTGAAACATTTTTAAAATTTTCATTTAGTGAGGTTTTAATTTAAATTTTATGAGGGAAAGAAATTTTAATTAATTTTAAATAAATATGTAAAGAAAATAATAATTGATGAAGAAATATTAAAAGAATTTGTATGTATTAAACTATTAATTCATATTTTTTAATAAAGTCTGTTATCTACTATAAATAATTAAAAATGTAAGATATATAACTAATATATTTCATTACACATATAATATTAAGTATTATAATTTTAAAAGAAGCATAAATTAATAATTATATTAATTCTTTATATTCATGAAGATTGACACAGATTTAAAGAAAAATTACCTTAATAAATTTTGTTTTTTAAGATAAAAAACTTGTATAACATTTGACTGTCTCCTTCTGAGACACTTGACTATTTTGACAGTTCAGCCTTAATTCATTTAACTGCAAATTTTTATCTTAATTTTACCACATGAGTTGTAAATTCATATGTCGAATATTTGTGTAAATTAAACAACATTAAAATAAAAATTAATTTTGAAAACTAGAATATAAATATTTACCAAATACACATTTTATTTAATATAATTCTATTGCAACTGATTTTATTTAATATAATTCCATTGCAACTGATAAAAGGATATTCAAATCCTCATTTGGATCGTGGTAACAAGTAGGTTAATATACCTCGAAACTAAGTTGCTTAGTGGTACTAGCACTCGGTTGTTCGTCATTTCCGGTGGCCAGTGTGGGGCTGGTCGAAGCGTCAACCGCGACCTGCGGTGTTTCTGTTTCCAATAAAATTGGTTGTGACGCCGGTGGTGAACCGCTGCAAGGTGCTGAGACACCAGCAAGAAGTTCTTCAGAGTCGCTACCTTCCGTGTTACCAACAACTGCAACCGAAAAAATCACTAATATTTCATTTACCGTTGATGCAACAGAACAAATTCGATCAGGTACTCGTTAGATCCGAAAGAAATCAATAATAGTGGGTTAAAAAAGAAAAATTTAATTCTGGATTTAATCTTTATTGATTACTTATAGAATGTAGGTTCACTTATAGAAAAATAGGTATAGGTTAACTTATAGAAATATGTATAGGTTATCGTATAAAAAAATATAGGTTAACTTGTACAAGTATGTACAGATTTCCTTATACAAGAGGTAACCTTATAAACAGGTTATGTCATACAGAAAGTAGGTACACATTAAGGCATAGAAAATACACATTAAGGTATAGACATAGACAAACTTATGGAAAAATAGCTATAGGTTAACCATAAATATAAAAATAGACTACACACTTCACTAAAAAAATTAAGTCTGACACTTGAATTAAAATGATAAAAATAAAATTTATGAAGAACTTCTAAATTTTTTTCTCTTATGCATCTTCTATATTTATTAAATTATTCTTCAAGATTATTTTATTAACCTTGAAGACATAAGTGACAACAGTTAAATTTTTAACAATATTCCAGACGAGAAATATTTTTTACATTTCCAGAGATTTGTAAGTGATAAAATCCGATAAGCTACCCCTTTCTAGGTTAATCTGCAAACTATCCGCTATTATGGTGATTTCTTGCTGAGTCGCCATTGATCCAGCGCCATTATTCAGGGATTAATAGACTTTTTATTGCCGGCTATTCGTTACTTGTGAATAGTAATTAAATTGGAATTAAGTTTGTGGAATTGATATGGAGGAATATTACAGTTATATAAAATGAAATTTGATAATTTACAAATTCAGTTTGAAACTAGAAATTTAGGTATTTGGTAATTTGAAAATTTAGAAATTTAAAAATTTAGTTTGAAGATGTAGAAATTTGATAATTTGCAAATTTAGTTAAAAAATTTAGAAATTTAGATATTTGGTAAGTCGAAAATTTAGAAATTTAAAAATTTAATTTGAAAATGTAGAAATTTGGTAATTTGAAAATTTGAAAATTCAGAAATTTAATAATTTGCAAATTTAGTTTAAAAATTTAGAAATTTAGATATTTGGTAATTTGAAAATTCAATTTAAAAATTTAGAAATTTGATAATTTGAAAATTTAGTCTAATTAAAAAATTTAAATCTACATAAATTTGAAAAATTAAAAATATAACAATAATCAATGTAAACAAAATAATTCACTATTTTTCACTAAGATTCCCCTCCACGTCACTTAATTCCCGCATTCAAGAATTTTCAGCTCTCCCCTTCTTTTTTTACAAATTCCAGTGATCCTCAAATGAATAAGTAAACTCGATCAGACCGTAGTTCGGAAAATACGATCGTAAGATCGTTTTGGTGCTCCGTCGTGTTTATTTTCGGTCGTTCTATGTTACATCCCCTTCAAAATAGTCCCGAAATACTTCCTACAGTCCATAACTTAAGTACCGAGTAGCACTCTGAGTAACTGACTATAAATACGGACTTTACCCCAAGGCGGATGTTACTTTGATACCTTTGAGATTCTAATTTTTGTTTACGAGGGATACGAGGCGCTCAACCATAGATAACGGTTTCATTCTCTTTGATGAGAGTTTCATGCTCCAAGCAAATAAAAGGGATTCCATGAACGTACTAGAAAATATTTTCGGATATACTTTAACGCTTTTACAGCTGGTTCACTTGTTGCGATTCGAAAGCTAAATATTGTAAACGTACCTTCATCTGGAAAGTATACAAATTTTAATAACCGCCATTTTATATTATTTATATTTTATTACTCATTATTTAATAAAAAATAACTAATCATTGCACGTAACTGTAAAATTAATTTTATTAAACTACAAAATTTCATGTACTTAGATTTTTAAATTTCTACACAATGTGGATTGAATAGGTCGCCATTTTAAAATGGCTGTACGTCTTTTACACAATTCAAATTTGTGTTTTTATTTACTTCGAGACAGGTACAAAAACGTATAATTACTTTGCAGAAAATATGAAAGTGTCTTGTACATACATTTGAAATTTTTCTGCAACATACAGTATAATTTTATTTGTCTTTTTAATACTATTAAAATACACTCAAAAAGTAAAACAGATACATGTTTAATTGAAAGCGTCTAGATTTTAAATTGCTGTGCGTGCAAGCAGATTGCGTTCTACGCCATTTTCTTTTTACATGGTTGCTTTTTGCAGGATGCACACCGCAGCGTGTAAAAACAGAGCCAGGTGTGTGTTTTTCTTTTCATATTATTAAACTACACACTGAGAAGATCAACTTGATAAAATAATTTCATAATATTTATTTGTGAAACAATATCCGGAGGGTTGGTTACCACAACCAGTACATAACAGGATATGTTGCTGAATTACAAGTTCCTTTGTATTGCTTTACTAATATAATTTTGTTTTAGGATTGTGTGCAGGATACAGAAATTAAAAGAATTATAAAATTTGTTAAACAAGGTGGTGAGAAGTGTACATAACCTCTTTAGGAATGATTTTATTGTATATTGTTGCAAAGACAGAAATAACTTAATTATTATACTTTAGTTATTTTAAACTAATAATAATTAAAAAATCTAGAAGGATTAATATAACATATACACAAGAGAAAAGAATGTATTAAATTGACAGTTTTAAACAAATTGTAAAATAATTAATATGACATATGTGCAAGAATAAAGAATGTATAAAATTGACAAAGATAAAAAAAAAATATAACATTGTAACAGGTATACTATAAAAACAATTGATTAAACTAACAAAAAGAAAAAAATGCAAAATAGTTAAAATAACACATGTGCAAGAATAAAGAATGTATTAAACTGTCAAAAAGTTGCAAAAAATCCAGAAGAATTAATATAATATATGTACTACAAAAAAGAATGTATTAAACTGACAAAAATTAACAAAAAATCTATAAGGATTAATACAATATGTGTACTATAAAAAGAATGTATTAAATTAACAAAAGTAAAAAAATCACAAAATAGTTAATATATCATATGTACAAGAAAAATTTACATATACAAAAATTTAAATTTACAATACACATGTATGTGTCAATCCCTAAATAGGTTAAAGTTTCAAGTATATTTTGTGGATGTGAATTTTATAAACTGTTCTAATTCCTTCATCACTACATAAATTCCTAAATACGTCAATTCAAAATTGTACCTGCACATGATAAAAATATACCTACACAAGGTAAAAAATAATGTAACATCCTTAAATAGAAATGCACTTTATTCTAAATTGAACTGTGAACAAATTGTACTCCAAGTATATGGTATACATTTGACGAATTTTATTGTTCGACGGATATCCGCAGGAGTGGGGTTGAACGAATTAAGGAATATGTACTAAAAGGGACGAAGGAGAGAGAGAACGTAACATCCATTTACAGCGTTTATTTCAGAAGCATCGTGCACTGCACTCGAAGGAAGTGTAATGTATCTATAATGTGTCTGCATTAAGCCGCCATTTTACCGTTACCTAGACGGCGTGTAAAAGCGTTCTACGGAAATGAAACGACTGAAAAGAAGCCTTTGCGCAACAACCGCGTGTATAAATGGACATCCACGAAACGCAGCGAGATGCGACACGACGTGTTAACGCGTTGACTGCTATGAGGGTCACCGTGAAATTTGATACAATGTGATAATTAGAAAAAAAGCGAACTCATGGTCGTGTACTTAAATAAAAATCTACAAAATTAAATAAACGTATTCCTAACCTGCAAGAGACCGTACATTGTCGGTAATTATTTTGTTACCCAAAAAGTATGGTAACTTAGAAATATCTGTTGGTAACTATATTCAAGATGTCCAAGTTTGTTACCATCAATTTTCACCAACTTTTTACCATCAATTTTTGCCAATTCTATAAGTAATAAGATCTTGAAATTTATATCTCACAAATTACTAAATTTTAAAAATTTAAGTATTTAAATTTTGTCAAAATAATTTTAAATTTTGATATTTTGAAATCTTGACATTTAATAATTTTTCAAAGTTATTTTCAAAATATTTTTCAAGGACATTCATAATTTTTCAGCACAACATTTCAATAAATATTTTAATAATTTCTTAAAATAAATTAGTCTTAAAACTATCATCTCCAAATGTTACCAACAGTGTATCACCCATAAATAACCCTATGTATTTCAGTTATCATCAAATCATAAAACATATAGCAGCCGATAACATTGAATAATTCGATGTCCGAAATATTCGTGCAATTCGTAATCCCGTCGGGATGCAGCAAATACCTGATCAGAACAATCATAAATAATCGAGGATTCACGATAAAAAACGAGTTCCGAGGCGATGTTCGTAGCGTACCCTTCGCATATTCGAAATGTTTTGGCCACCGGTTACACCATTTTCTTCCAACGATCGTGTTTTCGGATCGAAAGCCTCCGTTTTTATCTTAATCCCCGCGATACATCATTAAAGCCGATGCAATGCGATTTCCAGTAAAAATATGTACTTAAAACCGTCGGCATCAAAGGGACCGCGGAGCAACGATAATTAGCGATACGGAACGCGTAATAAACGAAGCCGACCGCTAATTTCAATTACTTAAGATCAAAAGCAACAAAGAAGAAGAGGGGAAGAGAGAAAGAGAGAAAGAAGAAAGAAAGAGAGAATAAAGGAAAAAAGGTCGGATAATCGTATCTGCATAAAGAAACGGACGCACATACGCGTATAATGATACCTGCCGTGTGGTAATTACGCCCGTAACTCTTTCGTGGGGCAAGCGTTAAAGACCCAAGACACTGAGCGCACCGGGGGAGAAAAAAGGGAGACAAAGAACTGCACGAGAAAGAAGAAACTAGGGACAAAAACATGGGAGGGAGGAAGAGAGAATAGAAGGGTTGGTAGAAAGAGAGGAGATCCTTGCTTTGATATCATGGGGCTATTATTTTGGCATTTTTTTGAGAATCAGAAATTTAGAATTTTGGACTTTGAAAATTTGGAAATCTAGAAATTTGAAGATTTAAACATTTTGAAAATTTGAAAATAAAATTGAGATTTTGAGGATTTTGAATTTAGTTGGTTTTGAACTTGAAATTTTGGAAATTTATAAATATGAAAGAATGAAATATGGAATTTGTAATTTGAAATTTAAAAAATACTAAATTTAGAATATAAACATTTACAAATTTGTAAACTGATTTTGAAAAATAAGAATTGTACAACTTAAGAATTTGCAAAATTTAAAAACTTGAGAACTTGACATTTGAAAATTGGAAATTTGAGAATTTTGGAATTTGAAAATTTAAAAATTTAAGAAATAGAAATTTGAAATTTTGAATTTTGAAATTTGGAAATTTGAAAATTTGAGAAATTGAAAAATGAGAATTTTGAATATTGGAATTTGAAAAATTAAAAATTTGAAAAATAGCAATTTGAAAATTTGAAATTTGAAAATTTTGAAATTAGAAGATTTTGGAATGTTGAATTTTGGAATTAGAAGATTTTGGAATTTGAAAGTTTTGGAATTGGAAATTCTGAAATTTGAAAATTTGGAATTTGGAATTTGGAAATTTGGAAATTTGGAATTTGGAAATTGGAAATTTAGAATTTGGAAATTTGGAATTTGGAAATTTGGAATTTGGAATTTGGAATTTGGAAATTTGGAATTTGGAAATTTGGAATTTGAAAGTTTTGGAATTGGAAATTCTGAAATTTGGAAATTTGGAAATTTGGAAATTTGGAATTTGGAAATTTGGAATTTGAAATTTGGAATTTGGAAATTTGGAATTTGGAAATTTGGAATTTGGAATATGGAAATTTGGAATTTGGAAATTTGGATTCTGAAAATTTAAAAATTTGAGAATTTTGAATTTGGGAATCTGGAATTTGGGAATTTGGAATATGAAAATTTAAAAAATTGAGAAATCTAAATTTGAGAACTATAAATTAAAGTTTTGAAAATCCACTATGTAGAACCTATAAAAATTTAGACCTATCCCCACTCCTTTCAGAAAAGTGCAACGCAACAAATCTAAAAAAAGAATTCGGAAGATTACCACATCCCCTAAGACAAATAAGAAACTTCATTACCGTCTAAAGAATGTCTCCATTTCACCGGAGTGTACTTACATCTTTTATCTAACCACAAGTACATACTACGAAACGAACTCGATAATTAAACTCCACCACCCATGATACGATAATGTGTGAAGCATCAAGGTGGTGCGCGTTTCCATGTGTACTTATGTACACATACGGTCGTGTTTGTGTTACGTATAACGTACCGCTGTTGCGCCCTCTTGAATGAAAAGCAAAGGGGTAAACGGAACAAACGGCTTTTGCTTCTTCTTTGTAAATCACCCCTTTCTCTGTTTGCTCGCTCGTAACTTTTATCATTTGCCGACGCAACAGCTTTCCCCCGTATGAAAATTTGCCCCGGACGGCGACGCACGAGAAAGCAGTCACAAAGAGAGCGGTAAGAGCGCAGGAGGATGAGGAGGAGAAGGAGGGGGAGGGGGAGACCGGGAGAGCTTCAAAAGCGGGACTCCCCGCTAGACGAGCCGGGAATTGTCGAACCGATCCGACCAACCTCCTGTCTCGATGATCAAACATTCCATGCGGAAATGCAACGATTGTGCTTATTTTTTTGTACACCACTTGTTTTCGATTCTGGGAGAGAAGGTAAACTTCATATATTTTTATTTTGGGAGTTTTTAATTCTAAATACTTTGGCTTGGAAGTTTTTTTGTTTAGCAACAACGAAATACGCGAATTTAACAAATTTTTTATTTGTGAAGTATCAAATTTATAAACTTTTTAAATTCCTATGTTTAAATTGAGAAATTTGTACATTTTTTGAGGGGTTATATTTTAAATTTTAAAATTTTCAAACTCTACTATTTTAAATTTGAAAATTTTGATAATATTTAAATTTAAATTTGAAAATATTTTAAATCATCAAATTTTTGAATTCATAAATTTGCAAAACTTCAAATTTCTAAACATTTTAATTTTTAAATTTGCAGAAATCCAAATTTTCAAATTTCTAAATTTTAAAACTACCAAATTCTACAATTTTTCAAATATTTAAATCTCCATACTTAAAAATTCAAAAATTTCAGTTCTAAGTTTTCAAAATTCCAAAATCTCTGAGTCCCAAAATTATAAAGGCCCAAGTTTCAAAAATTGAAAGTTTAAAAATTCTGAATCACAAGTCTGAAGACCCAAAGTTGCAAATTAGCAAAATCTGAAAGTTCCAAAATCTCAAATTTCAAAACTTTTGCAATTCCAAAATCTCTAAATTCAAAATTAAAGACCAAAGCCATTAAATTTCAAAATTCCATAATTTCTGCGTATAATGTTCTATAATACCCAAAGTTTAAAACTTACAAAGGCCCAAAGTTAAAAAATTGAAAAAAAGGTGAAAAAGTCCCTAGGATAAAAATTCCATAAGGCCTAAAGTACAAAAATTTCAAAATTCCTAGGTCTAAAATTTAAAGTTTAAAAATCTCACAATCTAAAAGTCCTTAATTTCAAAATCAAAAAAATCACAAAAAAATCCAAAGAAATCCAAAACTTCCATAATTACCAAAACACCAAGATTCCAATTTCGAAATTCCTAACGTCTCAAAATTCAAATTCCCAAAATGCAAGAATCATTAATTCCAAATTTCCTCCTTTCTAAAATCCTCAACGCAAAGTTCAATAATTCCAAAATGTCAATCTCAAAATCCGCCCGCCTTTTCAAAAAAAGGCGGCAAACCAGCAGTATTTAAATGCGAAAAATCGTGTTGCAATTTCGAACTTGTATTTTAATATTTAACAAGTCGCAGCTGACAGTAAGTGGGTCAGGAAACACTTTGTAAATCTCCCATTCACAATTCGAAAACCGTCAGCGTCTAAAATAAAATTGAAATCCGTGGCACATTTTAATATCGTCGGTATTCGAGGTTGAACGCCGGAAGCCCGTATCGATCGTAAAAAAGAGACGAACCGCGAAATAACAGAAAAATCCGAGGAGAAAAAAAATGCAAGTGTGACGTAACACCACGTGGGATCCACTTCTGTCATACCGAAGCAGCATCATCGAGAAACACGCACGGCGCGGCCCCACGACTCCGGCAAAATATCACGCCTATAACCGGATTGACCAGACAATCCGTATACGGAATATCTCGATCTATCGTGCATCGCGATTTCGACGAGCATCGATACCTCGCGTGTGCATATGACAAAAAAATCCGAAAGACGAGAAACAGAAGGATCGTTAGAAAAAGACAGACAGTCGTCGTTGGAAGGAGAAAGAAAAACATTATATAGAAGCTTACCAGAAAAGGGTCTATAACCAGCGAGGAACCTTGCCCGCCACCACTTTACCAATCCGGTAGCCATGAGACCCTCATGCATCCACAAACGCTGCGCACACTTTCCTTCCAGTCTTCTTGTTCCGCCACTTTTTCCCTTTTGATGCCCGTCGTATCCCTGTTCCGTTTTCGCTGGGGGAAAATCACTATTTCTCACTGGGAATACGGTTCACCGAAACTAACACACCACCGCGAACATCATGAGCTCCTGGTTGACGGATGACACGGTTAGTGCGCGACACGCACCGGATAAACACGTGTTTGGTCCGCAGTTCTCGTTATTTTTCAGCCGTAGTCGAACGTTCGTACTCGCATGCTCGGTTTACAAACGAATAGTACGGGGTCAAATATGATCCACGCGTTGCGAGAAAAACACGGCGGATGAAAAGGGTTGGACACACGACATCGCTCGAATCGCGGCCCGACTACGACTACGGACGATCGTTCTTGCCTAAACCACGTTCCCCGTAATTCCCTTTCCCCTTCCATGGGGTGCTCCGTCGTCAACAGTGCCGAGCTGTGGATACATGGGCCCTGAAGGTAGGAGGCGCGGCTCGAAACCTCCAATTCACGCTCTTTCTGTCCATCTCTCTTTTGCCTCCCTCCCTTTCGCGCTTTTTCAGTACTTTCTCTCTCTTGCTCTTTTTGATACCTCTCTTTTTACTTTTCTTCTTCGTCAGACCATATCGGGTCTTATTCCTTTCTTCTTCTTGTAGGTTTGTCTCTTTTCTTCATGGGACCGCGGACTTCCTTCTCTCTAGGGTTATCCTATTCTCTATAGCAGTGGTGCTCAAAGTCAGTCGAGGTGTGACCCCCTTTATGATATTTGGGTAGGGTGCACCCCTTTTAGGTTATGTAGAAAAAGTTGTATGTAGGTAAACGGAAAATGGGGAGAAAAATGTGTAGTATATTTGGGCTTTTTAAAATGTAATTTTACATTTGTGATGTTTGAAATTATGTACATATGTGGTTAGCACTGTATTTACATAGGGGGTATAGGGAAGGAAAATTTTTTAATTAGACTTGCAGATTTTGGTGTTTTCAAGTTAGGAAATTTCCAAATTTTCAAATCCTCAATTTCCGTGTTTTTAAATTAGTAAATTTTTAAAACCCCAGATTCTCAAATTTTGATGTTTTTAAATTAGCAAATTTCCAAATTTCTAAATTTCTTCAGTCTTAATTTTAGTGTTTTTAAATTAGTAAATTTTTAAAATATCGGATTCTTAAATTTTTGTGCTTTTAAATTAACAAATTTTCAATTAGAAATTTTAGTTTTAAAATTTCAAAATTCCCACATTTCCAAATTTCAATATTTGTCAAACTATCCAGATTTTTAAATTCTGATGTCCCCAATTTTTAAACCACTCAATTACAAAATTTCTAATTTTCCAAATTGTGAAATCTCAAATATTCAAATTTGCAATTTCCAAATTAAATTAAATTTCTCAAATTTCCAGATTGCAAAATTTCCTTCAAATTTCCCAAATTTCTAGAATTTTGTATTTCTCAAATTTCAAAAAAAAAATGTAAACTTAAAAAATTTCCCAAGTATTTGGATTTTTATATTCTTCAAATTTCCTAAATTTCTAAATTCTTACATTTCTCAAATTTCCCAAATTTCTAAATTCTTTAATCGCAAAATTTAATAAAAAATTTCCAAAAATAAGTGTCAAAATCAAATATTAATCTTGCTCTCCTTATATCGCCATTTGTCAACGAAAGTCTACAACGGCCCTATATCTCGACAGCGTTCCCCCAGAAATAATTTGCCCCCCAAATAAAGGGGGTACCGATCCACAGATTGAGAACCACTGTTCTATATCCTCTCTTTCTTCTCGCCGCGTCTCACTTTGCCTCGGTTCGCTCGTTCCGTCTCCCTTTTACCTTCGTACTTATTTCGTCGTACCAACCGCGCGTATACTTTCCTTTTCTCCTTCTTTTTTGTCCAGCCGAAGGTCTATGAGAGAAGCGAGGAAGGATAGCTTCGCACGGCTGGTGGGGTTTTGAAGGAAGCCGATGATGGTTCAACGTGGTCTACGACGACACTAAATGTCGACGCCGCGACGTCGAACGGCATGCGTAAAAAGGAATCGGCCTCCTAAGGATTTCGATTATCGCCGCCGCAAACGAACCGTCGCCGGATTTTTGCGGCGCCGATCGCGCGGACGTTGCCCCTGTTCGATGAACAGAGAAAGTTGCTTTTGAAGGATTTGGAAAACCGGGCTTCCTTTCTCAAAGGACCCCAGTATCGTCCCTGGAGCGAAATCGACGATTCGTTGAAATCGTCATGGGAATCCTGTAATTCGTCGGAATGACCGACTACCGTTCCCCTTCGTCGCGGCTAACCGTGGCCAATAAATAATCACTTGGATCTTTGCTTTTTTTTCTCCTGCTTCGCACCTTGACCTTCCTTTTGTGTTGGTAATAATAATTATTATTTTTATCACTATTTTTTGGCACCGGTGTGGCCTGTACCATCCTCCAAAACAATTTTTACGAACTCGTAAGTTTGCCTTCTTGTTTGTTGTTTACTGATGATCTAACCTAACATGCAACTTTAGATGCGTAAGTTTGGCACATTATACGTTTTCTGGTGGCTGTTCATTATTATATGTATTTTATAACAATAACATAACCTAACTGACATATAAGTTCAGCATACCTCTTTGTGGATATCTGTTAATATGAGTGTCTGAATGTAACCTAACCTAACTCAACCTATTATTAGTACTGACACATCAATTTAAGGTATTGTATCTATTTTGTTTGTTAATAACATAACCTAACCGACATATAAGTTCAGCATAGCTCTTTGTGGATATCTGTTAATATGAGTGTTTGAATGTAACCTAACCTAACTCAACCTACCATTACTGACACATCAATTTAAGATATTGTATCTATTTTGTTTGTTGATATGAAATAAATATAAGCTAACCTAACATAATCTAACCCAACTCACCATGTTTATTGGTACATAAAAATATATTGTACCTACACCCATTTGTAGATATTCAACAGAACCTAACTTTACTTTAAGTTATTAAGGACACAATACACTATATTTTATTTGTTTTGTTTGTGTTTATTATAATATATAGTTACAACCTAACCTATAGTTATAATCTAACCCAACCTGAGATACAATTATGATTTTCACATAAGTTCAGTATATTGCACTCCCTTTTGTTGGTAAATGTTTATTAATATAAATATAATGTAACAATTACCTAATGTAAATTAACCTAACCTAACATAAAATATTTAGCAATACATTAGTTCAACTAATTACATTATTTTTAATAATCTGTAATCTGTAAAATTTTTTGTTCCTACAAGTTTAGCATAAACTTATAATTGTTGCTAAATTTTTGTTCCTGTTTCACAAAAATTTTATTAATTTTTTGTAACAAATCAACTATTAAAAATATTCAAACTTAACCAACTTATTTTTCAACACTAAAATTTATAATTTTATAAAAAAAGAATTTTAAATAAATTTCTGAAATAAAATAAAACATGAATTGCCAATAGAGTAATAGTAAAATTACATCACATTCCTTAATTCCAAACAATTAAAGGACGTCCTAACTGTACGTTAGAACATAAATCATTTTCGTAGTGCAAATAATTTTTACACCGCCGTCTTTCCAGTATTTGCTAAACGTTGTATTATTTGTTTTCCATCTACCCAAGGTTAAAGTACGTTAATGTAGTGGTACAGTACGATAAATGAGAAATACTCTTTTTGGAGACTGTACCCGCACGCTATTATCTCCTAGCGGTGTTTCAGAAGAAACATAGGCGTCGCCAGCCATAATTCATTGAATGAACTTCAATAAAACATTGCCTCACCTAAAACTAACAACCTTCCTATTAATTTGTTCACAAAAAATATCCATACATATTATTAAAAAAATAACACTTATATTATACGAATTAAATATTCCTACAGCACATTATTAATTATATTAAAGAACCTGAAATGATGAAAAGGGACTTGTAATAAATTAATATTTACTAATGATAGGTATATTAGAAAGTTTTAGGCAGTTCATTTTTATACCTGCAAATTGATCAGTAAAATAAATAAAACGCAGCTTTGAAATTTGATCGTTGTAATAAAGGTGACAAATGGTACAGTACGTAAAGAAAGAGGAAATGCAGTTATGGGATCCCGTGGTGGGTACGCCACTGTCTCGGCAAGTACCCCCTTGCTCTCCCTGTACGGAAAGTCTCAACCCACCATGCCACGCTATGCCGTGCTGTGCTGCGCTGTGCTACGGTTTGCCGTGCCATCCTCAACCGCGTAGCATGGCTAGTTGTTTCTTTTCTTTATTCCTTTGTCGGAAAGTCGGTGGCGAGTCTCGTTTTTAAGAGAAGAGAAGTAGAGGGGAGGAGGCAAAAGGAAAACGACAACCGCTCAGCAGGGGCTGAGGAAGGAATGGTCGGGCCGAGGTTAGGGGGAGGGAGAGAGGGCCACGCAGCAAGGAGAATAAAACGTACGGCTCAAAAACTCAGTACAGACTAACCTCGAAATAAAGCCGACAACGGCCACGGGAAACCGAAGCGGTATCTATTAATAATAAACTGTTTTCGAGTGAAATCTTCCACGATAAGACGATTTCTTGGAGGGCGATTACACTTCGCGAACACGACACGGCTTTTACATGGCCTCCCATGCGAAACCGTTCGACCCGACGACCGTTCCGTTTGCGGCATTATGTAATATGTTACATGCGAATACCGCGTGTGTATCACGCACCCGGTAAGAATGCTGTTGCATTATTGAAGAAAATTGTTTGCTCGAGTCGGTAAATAGGAAACGCATTCCTATATACCAGGCGTGTTCGAAATTTCATTCAACAGTCACAACATTATCGAAAATTTGATGGTAACCAAAATTATGGAAAATTTGATGGTAACCAAAATTATGGAAAATTTAATGGTAACCAAAATTATGGAAAATTCATAGAATTATTTTTTTATATTTGACGCATTTAAATGTGGTGACACATTTTCTGTCTTCTCATGATTTGAGTTGTTTGCTTACTGTTTATTGTAGGCATAGCAGAGTCCCGCTATATGGCCTTCGGCGAAATTGCAGTAGCTGAAAATATTGTGATAGACCATACCAATGGAATTCCATCAAAACAGTACTTTAGCGTTGATGTGTATTCCAACATCTCAAAACTGCAAGATCTCTAATTTGTAAAATAGGAAATTTGAAATTTTCAAATTCTTGCTTTTATAAATTTAAAGATTTAAAATTTTCAAATTTGAAAATTTAAATTTTTTAAGGTTGTAAATTAAGAACTACTCAATTAACAATTTAAAAATTTGAAAATTTGTACATTTTAAATTACTAAATTAAAAAAACCAGCAAATTATAAAATTAGTAAAAATTCCTAAGTTGAAAATTTGAGGACTTAAATTTGGAAATGAATGCATGTGAAAATCTAAAATTTCTATTTTCCTAAATGTAGAATCTCTGAATTTCCAAATTTCAAATTTGTAAAGTTGAAAATTTCTAAATTTAAAAATTAAAAATTCTCTGCATTTGAAAATCTAAAATTTCTATTTCCCTAAACTTAGAATCTCTGAATTTTCAAATTTGTAAAGTTGTACATTCCTAATTTGAAAATTAAAAATTCACTGCTTTTGAAAATTTAAAATTTCTATCTCCCTAAATTTAGTATCTCTGAATTTTCAAATTTGTAAAGTTGAAAATTTCCAAATTTAAAAATTAAAAATTCCCTTCTTAAAAATAATTTTAGTAACTTTCATTACTAAAATAAAACATTCTAGTAATTTCCTTCGTTAGTCATGAAGTCAGCAATGTTTGTTTTTCCGTGATTCCGAGCGGTTCATTAAAAACTAATCTCGACCAAACAATGTAAATATTTCTTATCCTAGTTTTCCGTCGCTACCGTCTCGTTATCTCGATCGGCCTTATCAAACGACACTTCAACTTAGGCGCAACTTTGTCTTTCAAGCGTCACAGATAATGATCTTGATACGATCGTCTCCCAGTGTTTGCGATGCCTTGCACGATATCTGCTGCATTTATAGCATTATCAGTGCAGTAGTCATCGACGAACTCATCCATCGCCGTGTCGACGGGTACTCTACGTTGTCACTGCATGTTTCCTACTTTTTGCAATCTTTTTTTGTATAATGACATTCGATCAGTAATTCCAGTTCTACATCCTACCACTACAGAAACACAGCTAAACTATTCACAGTTATTATTTCAAATGTATTCGAACATTTTACTGTTTAATAAGAGGTTATGGTGTTACTAGGTTATGGTGACGCCGTACTTTTTAAAAATTAAAAGAAAACTTTACATCACTTTGTAGTAAAACTTTCAAACATACAAAATAAATTAACTAGTATTGAGTGAATTTAGTAGTAATTATGTATAAACATATTTTTAGTATGTTTAACCTCTAAGGGATGACAGTTTAAGGTTAGAAAAAGATTTTTTGAATAGTAACTACAAATATTTAGATTAATCTCTTTAAGTTAGAAAAACTTATTTAAAAAGTTAAGAATATATTTATATAAATATATTTTACTCACTGTTAAGTTGACAGTAATTGAAAAAGTGTTCCAAAGAAATATACATAAAATAGTTTGTCTATAAATGTCGGTTGTAGAATTTTAAAGAAAACAGTACTCACGCATTTATGTTGGTATCCTTGAACTTTTTACGATTTCGTGACAATGTTTCAAAATGCACGATCGAAGCAGTAGGTTTTAAAAACATTTAATCTCCTCCCTGGACCGTCCGGAGAAAAACAGGAAGAGAAAGGAAGCGAAGGAGGGAGAAGAAGAGATAAGGGAGGGAAGAAGGTCCACGACCGGATCTTATAATTACGCTAATTAGGCAGTAACGCGTAAAAAGAGCGGCGCGTATATTTATCGCAAGATATCGTCGAAGATCGGCAAAAGAGGACGTCGTACGACAGAGCACGACGGGAAAGGCTATAATACAGTTTTGCCGCGAGCATCAGAAGCAACAGCAACCGTGGCAGCAACCGGCGGTGCCGAGAAAGAGGCAACTCTGATGTTGCTTTCGATTTACTCTTTTTCGCGAATGATAGACGTCTCTTCTATAAGAAATCGTTATATCGATTTATCTTAACGATATAATTACTTAATTAAGAGGAGGTGGGGCAAAAATCATATTTTTGAGTCTTACAGTTAACAAATTTTTAAATCTGAAAAATTAGAAAGGTAAAATAATTGTGGTATAATTTTAAAATTAAAATAATTTTTAAATTTATAGTACCACAAATTTAAGATTGTAAAATTTTAACATCTCAAAATTTAAACATTTCAAATTTTAAATTTTGAGGTTCTGAAGTTCTAACAACCTAGAGTTCTAAAGTCAAAAATTTTTGAGTCTCAAGATCCTAAAAATCTAAAACCTTGAATTTTCAAAATTGTAAACAGAAGTCTCAAAGTTACAGAATTTCAAAATTTAATGTTTCAAAATTCCAAAATCTGAAAGATCCAAAATACAAAAATTGAACAATCAATAAATTCTATTCCGAAATCTAAAAGTTCATTTTATTAATATTTCAAATACCACGTACAGGAGGTACCAAAACAACTAAACGCGGGCCCCAAAGCAGCCAATCCGTTCCTGATAAACCCGCACCCAAAAGGACTAGTTCAACAATAAAACTAAAAAATTCGAATGATATACTACAGTGCGGTATAATTAAAAGTACGAATCGATCCGACCAAACATCACCGAAGAAATAACAAATCCAACCGCGAATTATCTTAATGTATTCTCGTACTGTTCGCCGCAAAAACAAACGGTCTCCCCAATCAACGCGGACCCTTCACCCATTTCCATAAAAATTATATCGCTTCGTAAGACACCTCTGTATTACCCGCGCATATTCCGTATCAGGGTTTTCGTGATCAACCCTCGGCAGAAGTGGTTTATTATCGTTATCGGTGTTTCCTGTTCTATTTTTCCGCGGATGGTTAATCAACGGCCGACAAACCGGTGGTGAACGTGTGTGGTTGCTACCCGTCACAGATTTTTCTCTCATCAGGCCAGAACAGTCCGGGACTGAGCGTTTATGGGTACCTTTACTGGATGGATTCGTCGGTCGACGTGGAGAGGGGGGGACGGGAGAATGGGGAGAGGAGGGGGGCC